CAACTTTTGCTTTGAAGATTTATTGCCGCCTTCCTGACCGATTCATATAACAGTTAATATTATGTGTCCAATAATAATTTTTTTCTTGTAGAACACAGTGCTTCCAAAATCTTCTGTGGCCCTTTCTGCCCAAGATTCTATTAAAAAGGTAAATTAATTCATTTTTCTTAAATATAATAAACAATCTTTTACTTTCTTTACAAAAATTAGTTTAGGAGAAATATCTTTTTAAGTCCCTATTCATATGTATCCAGAGTCAAAAACAAATGGACGGGGGACAGTTCTATATCATCTGTTCTATTTGGCTGCTTGCCGAAGTTCAGTTTGTGTTTTCAATGTCCCAAAAGCATTATTTGTATATATATTAGATTTGTATACAGCATTGCGACGTATGAAATCAGACTTTTTCTGAAATGGCATACCAATATTTTTCTTTATTTCAATTCTACCATTCACATTACTCCTAAACACTGTAATAATTTTGGTGAAAACTTTTCGAAAAAATTTGAGAATTTTGCTTGGCGCACTTTTTTTTATTTTGGGTCAGTTGGCAGACTTTTCAGTTTATGGAAACCTATTTCACTTTCTTTTCATTCTGCATGAGTTGAAAAAGAAAGCATCATTTCTTCTTTCTTGCAAATATTTTTCTTTATATTAAATTTTTTAATCATAGTTATATTTAGATTTTTTTTTTTTTTTTTTTTTTTTTTTTTTTTTTTTTTTACTTTTTAAAATTTCATTTTAACTGTTTGAATTGCATGGTTGAATTCTATTTCTACAAATCATTGTTTTTAAAATTTCTGTTTATTCATTCAAGCATTGTACTCAAAGCATATTTATTGATATAAATGTTTCAATAGTATGATTTTATTTATTTGAACTGCATTTCTTTTAAAAGGAAACTTTGTGACCCAGTATATGTCATGATGCATTTGAAAGCTGCATATATTAAAAAAGGAAATACAGTAAAGCGCAGACAATGTGTCTTTCGATGGGCCATTCAGAAAGGATATAAAAATCAAAAAGATCCATAATCGACAATTTAAGGGGAGAAGTGTATAATTGTTTACACAATTTTACATTGCTTTACGTGTCATTACATTTCATCATCTTACTTTTAAGTTTGTTAAAATGTTATGCGTATTTCAGAATAAGTTTAAATATTTCATTTTTTTGAATTTTAAGAATCAAATAGTATAACATAAAAAAATAATAAATAAATAAATTTCATCCAAAAACCTTGTTTTTAAAACCTTGTTGATTTTTTGAGGCAATCTGCAAATGTATCTACAATCATCCACGTTTTTTATTTGCTATGTATAGTAAACACTTTTGAAACATCTTGGTTTTTGTAACATTCTTATGAATAGAAATATTGTCTTCTGTTTCATCAGTTTATGCTCAGCATAAAATAGTGAAGTGATTTTGACTATGACACAGAAAGTCTTCAGAGGCTAGGTATTTTGAAAACAGGTGATGACAAAAAAGACTGGTTTTATCAACAATGAAAATGTTTTTAGCTGATATCCATATAACTCTTAAGATAAATTCTCATGTTTTTAACAAATTTGGCTAAGGCATCTTTGGATTCTTTGTTTATGAAATAATATAATATTCTGTGACATAATTTATGCATCTCTTCAGTAGAAAAATAGACAACTTTTGCATTCACTCGCGATGCTATTTTTTGTGTCTTTTCATAACATCCATCCATTCACTTAATGCACTGCATGAGTAAAAAACTTTAGCAAAATATGGTTTTAGCTATTTCACTTTAAACATGCAATTTCTTTGAGTCAGATTTTCCGCATATGATTTTTCTTTCTTCTAATTTTCTTCTTTTAGAAATATTTGTTTTCATTATTTCCACAATATTCTTTTTTTTTTAACAATTATATTTCCATAAATTCTGTTGTCAAATTCTTTTAAAATGTGAGTTGTAACTTTCAGGGAGATTGCTCTTCATTTTCTAGACATTTTAGTTGCAAAGTAGAGCTCAGTGGATAAATTGTTGATAAAACCTGTATACGAAATGATTAGAGGTATCTCCCAAACTTTTGTGGTCAACAGAATCCAGCATTAATCTGTCCCACTTAGTGATACAGTTTTTAAATTGGGTGCAAATAATCTAAATCATAAAATATTGCCAATTTTTTAGATTAGTAATTTTTATATTAAAAAGCATATTGTTTTAATTATCTGTAATAGTATAAGGGAAAACTAGCAGTTTGAAACATTCTTTGTAAGAGGTTTAATATAAAATTAATATTTCACATATTTCTATTGAAAGATGATATATGACTAAAACTGTCAAACTCTTAGTTTATTTTGTAAATACTTTATTTGAAACTGTGTGCTATGAAATAGGTATATCGTGGAAATTTTTACTTTTATGTAAAGAATTGATCCAAATATGTTTAAATTTCATTAAGCTAAAACTAAAGCAACACATGCCTTAAGAATAAGTATTGAAAATTTAAATTTTAATTAGTATTAATTCTGAATACTATGCTTCGATATTTACACTGACTTTACTTTTAATTTCTAGTTCTCAAAACCATTTGGCTTAACTTTGAATTTCTAGTTCCAAAACCCATTCCATTGGAAATTTCAACTTCTTGAAGTTCAAGTAATCACAGTGTATATTCACAATATAAAGAGTATATTAAAAGAAACAGAACATTGTAGAGTGTATACTGATGCAACTTTCTCTTAATGCAAGTGCAACATAATTATAGAGAAGACTTGCAGAGGTCTATATTTGACGTTTCTTTATAAGTAGACTTTGCATTCCTTTTATTGTTTCCATGTCCAAAAAGAAAATATTTCCTTTGAGAGGCAACTTTAATTTTTTTTAGGGGGGGTGTCAAAAATAATCACAAAAAGAAGAAATCTGGAGAACATGTGAGATGACTGACTAACTTTTTTTTTTGTCAAAAGCTGCTCTGCAAAGTGGTTCTTGACAAGTGGGAACATACACTGCTGGCTATTAAAATCACAACACTATTGAAGGAAAGCAATTACAAAAAAGATATTTATTACACATAAACAGTATGGCAGGAAGACAAAATGATTAAATTTGTAAGCATTTTGGAGGTTTAGAGGGATGGGAAATCAGTAGAAACAGCTGTTATGGCATAAATATACTTAATTGATTATCAACTAGCTTTTATCTTAGCATCGATGGTTTTTCATGTCAAGTTGTGGTGAAATAAAAACACTTCTTTGATTCTAATTCTACTTTATGAGGCAAAATCTATATGCAAGTATTTACATATTTGTTGGAGTTACATGATAGCTGTTTAATACCATTCCTCTACATCACCACACCCATCCACACTCTCCACTCTCTCTCATTCTCTGCTGAAACTCTTTAATTAACTATACATATGTGGCAGCGCAGCACCCTCTATAACTTTCAATGCAGCTGCCACTCCTGGCACCAAAGTGGCTCTTACCCCATTAGGCATGAAGTTAAACTGCCCTTGGATGACAGAAATGGGCAACTCATTCCATGCTGCTTCAAGTCTGTGCCACATTTCATTAACCATATTAGCTGGGGAAGGGTGGTGGGCCAGTCTCTCAGCAATTCATGAGCAGATGTGGGTTACTGATCTGGAGACCATGCAGGCCAAAGCAGTGATTGAATACCCTGTGTATCGAGGAAGGTCAGAACATGAAGTGCAACATATGGTCTTGCATTATCTTATTGGAACACGGTGTTTGGGGCCTTGAAGATAATGCACAACCACTGAACATAAGATATCAGATGTGTACCCATCTGCGATCAAATTACTATTGGTCAGAATGCCGTGTACCCAATGGTTGCCCAAACCATCACACCAGGTGCAGGGCCTCTTTGCCGATATCGAATACAAGCAGGCGATGTGCAGTCTTCTCGGACACTCCAGACACATATACAGCCATCAGAATACTGCACGCAGAACAGGGACTCGTTTCAAAAGGCACTCCAGTACCCACCTTTGTCGTTTGGTGCACCAGATTTACTGTCTCTCTCTATGCTGCATTGTTAAGGAAAGTAATGGTCACCCGGCTGATAGACCATGCTGCTGAAAATGCCAATGCACCTTACAAGCTGATACTAGGCGTGATGCAAACATGCCCATTTTCTGACTAATGGTCTGTAATGTGGTGATGCGGTTTTGCAGGGCTGACCTCACAATACAATATGTCTGTTCTCTCTGGCGTTACTCATGGGAGGTGTTAAAAATCATCCATGCCATTCAGTGTGACCCTCAGCAATCCATTGATTCCATATTCGCATAACAGTAGTCGGATGTCGACCAGTGTGACCGGCAGTACCATGGAATGATAATCTACATTTTCGATAGGAAACGATCCTGCCCCTATGCATTTTTAAAACTTACTGGTAAGCATCTCCTCTTCTTATTCGAGGCATAACACGATATTCTGAGCAAACTCCAACCTTATAAAGCACTTTCTGTGGTGTATCAATAACGTAATAGTAATCAAACTTAGAATTGACATGTGACAATCATCGGGTAATGCGCAAATTGAGTGTGGACGTGAACTGACCATAAGTGCCAGTTGTTGAAGTTGTACATGTGTATTTGTAAGCTTTTATGTACACCATGATATGTCTTGTATATATCGTATTTGACGGCATATAAGACGCACCCTTATTTAGACAGCCACACACAAGGGAAAAAGTTTCAATAGTGTGGTTTCTTTTAGTTCTCACATTTCGTAAAAGCCAAATAAACAATTATTGAATGCAATTACCTTCACGTATAAGACGCAGGTAACTTTTTTGAGACCAAATTTAGGGAAAAAAGTGTGTCTTATATGCCGTCAAATACGGTAATAAAGTAGAATATAATTAAATACAAAATCTTGTGTAATAAATACTCCCTAAAGACAGGGTAAAAGGTGGCAATGAGGATAGGATTGTGGATTTTGAAGAAAATAGCTTTTACGATGTGCTTTGCCGCTATCGAAGTGATATTGTTGGATTAGAGTATTCCCCGAAGATGCCTCAAGGTAAAACTTTTATAATTATTTTATTCAGAGGAATTAATCATGGAGCAGCTTGTAACTGAGCTAATAGAGCAGAATAAAGCTCTGGTGGAGAGACTTTCTTCAGTTATTACTTAACTGAAGAAACATACTGTAAACAGACAACAGACTGTTTACAACAGATAACTGTAAACTTTCTGTTCAGTTCGAAAAATATAATGAACAGGAAGAACAGTTTGTTTCATTTTTTGTAAAATTTGAAAGTTATTTAGGTATACAAAATGTTTCACAGGACAAGCATGGAAAAGTACTGATTTCCAGTCTGTCCGGGAAAATGTATAGTCTGTTAAAAAACTTGCTGTATCCTGCTAATCTGCTAAACTTGCTAATCCTTCAGATAAATATTATGATGTGTTAAAAAGAGCATTGAGAAATTATTTAAATCCCAAGCCACTTATAATTCCTAGCAGGCATACATTTTTAAATCGAAAGCAGCATGATGGGGAAACGATTAGTGCATATATGGCAGAGTTAAGGTCACTTGTCATACCATGTGCTTAAGAGCTGAACATGTTAAATACCATGTTGCAGGATGTATTCGTGAGTGGTCTAAGAGATAAAATTTTTGAGCAGGATAATCAATTTAGATGGCACTTTAAAAATAGCTTTGGCAATGGAAGAAGTGTTTAAATGTGCAAACAAAATAATTAGTAAACAAGTAGAAACTAAAGAGTTTAGTGCCAAGAATAAAGATCTAAGTCGGTTGCTCTAAAACAAAAGTTTGGAAAACAACACTTCTCAACTAAGAGCACAAAAGGCAAAATGTGTACGCGATATACGAGGACTGACTACGATAGAAATTCTTGTGAATTTAAGACAAGTATCTGCAAATTTTGTAAGAAAATCGGGCACAGGGTGGCTGCGGCAGTGTTGTCACATTGAACTTGACCAAAATATCAGCTTTGTCGTGGTGTAGAATCCAATCGCTCTTAATCGCTGGGGGGATGCTGCGGACTCGATCCCTCAAGTGGCAGAGCACTCCAGCGTAAAAGTCACCTGTGACAGTCTGTCCACGAGCAACAAACTTCTTGTGAATCCCTTCTTTGCCATAAAAAAAACAGCATTCTCTTCACATGCGACTTGCTCATGCAAGCTTTCTTGGGCTTCGGCGAGGAAGCAGTGTGCCATTCTGAGCTTTGACGCTTCGACTCATAGACCAGGTCTCATCACCCATAACCACTTTCTCCAGAAGGTTCGAATCAACATTCAATTGTTGGAGCATTTCCTGGCAAACAGTCATGCACCGTCTCTTCTGATCCACCGACAAAACTTTTGGCACACGCTTTTCACATCATCAAATTCTCCATTGCAATCCTCCACACGATACTCTGACTGAGTCCCAGTTCATTGGCAATCAATCTAGTACTAAGACTTCGGTCATTTTAAAAAGTTTCCACACTCTCTCCACATTTTGATCGGTTCGGCTTGATGATGGCCTCCAAGAGCAGTCATTGTCTTCAACATTCCCGTGGCCATCTTTGAAACGTTTGTGCAACATGAAAACCATTGCACTGGGCATGGCTTCTTCCTTAAAAGCCTCTTCAATCATACCGAGAGTTTCCGTGGTGGTTTTGTTCAGTCACACGCAAAACTTAATTGCATAATGTTGCTCCAAGTGCTGCTCCATTTTCGCCTCTCCCACTTTTCAACCGAGGTGAATGACACACACTCACACTGCAAGCAATGCGCACTCTTCAGGGTTCTAGAGGCAACTGCCACAGCATCAGTACATTCCCTGAGACCCCCCATTACTTCCCCCACCTGGCGGAACCGATCCGTGCACGCTCCGCTACTCAGAATAAACCAGTCTTGAAACTTTTGACTCGCACCCTATATAAATAATACCCTGAGAATGTTTTGAATGAATTGTAACTGGGCCCATCAATAGCTCAGTAAAACTCATAATTAAATAAATCACTTTACACAAAACTCAAAAATGTACTGTATACTCAAATTTATTAATTACTCAAAAAGCCGCATAGTTAGTTCACATCTCTCGGCGGCGTCTCAGAACACACTCAAAGCTCAATACAAGTGGCCGCAAGGTGGCGCTTTAAACAAACATCAACGTCATCGTTTTAGAACACAAATATTACATATTTTTCACAGATGGCGCCTCTGGCGTCAACATCCAGCCCGCCCTTGAATGTTACATTCAACAATAAATTTGAACACAAGTTATAAAATACAAACACAACACTCCAAGATAATAATAATGATGATTATAACAATTATAGAAACTCAAACTTGATAATTAACTACAAATAAAATTTAAGTAACTGAAACTATTTCATTAACAAAAGGCAAAGGTACAATTTTTGTCATTGGCCTTTTATAGGTTCCATTTTTATCTTTAAGTGTCACAACTTGAATAATATTATCTTGACCTGGATGGGTTTTAATAATTTGTGCTAAATGCCACTTTAAAGGAGAGTAATTATCCGAATCTTTTACTAAATCCAAATCTCCTTCCTTCATTTCTACTTTTCCTTTATACCATTTAGGTTTATTTAAAAGTTTGTTTAAATATTCAGACGACCATTTTTTCCAAAAATTTTGATTTAATTTCTGAACCATTTGCCATCTAGTTATCCGATTTATAGGAATCTCTGTAAAGTTAGGTTCAGGCAATGCAATTAAAGATGAACCAATAAGAAAGTGAGCAGGTGTCAATGCCTCTACATCATTTGGATCATATGATATGGGACAAAGAGAGCGAAAATTAAGTACAGATTCAATTTGAACAATTAGAGTAAAAAATTCTTCATAAGTTAGAATTGTTTTCACACGTTTCAAGTGATATTTAAGGGATTTCACACTAGCTTCCCATAAACCTCCAAAGTGAGGAGTAGAGGGAGGATGCCAATTTATGCCTTCAGTAGCCAAATAACCTTTGATTTCTTCCTCACTTTTATCCTTAAATAAAGATTTTAAAATCGCTTTTAATTCTCTATGAGCACCCACAAAATTTCTGCCATTATCATTGAAAATATCTGAGGGTTTTCCACGCCTGGCAATAAAGTGTTTAAGTGCTGCTATAAATGCTGCACTTGTTAAATCATTTACAATTTCAAAATGCAAAGCCTTCGTAGTGAAACATACAAAAATACATACAAATACTTTTCTTACCTGTTTACTTCTACCTACAAAATTTTTTACTACAAATGGACCACGGAAATCGAGTCCTGTTTTAGCAAAAACTCTTGATATGGTCACTCTCGCAGCTGGTAAATCAGCCATCTGTTGCTGCACAGACCTAGAATTTACCTTTTTACAAATCATACAATTAAAATAATTTTTCTAATTAAATTTTCTTGCAGAAACAATCCAAAATTTACTCCTTATAAGTGATAGGGTTGTTTCAGCACCTGCATGAAAATAAAGAACATGAAAATGATAAATCACAATTACAGTAAAATTATGTTTAGTTGGCAGAATCATAGGATGTTTTCTCATTTCACTTAAGTCACTATTTTTCAGTCTGCCACCCATTCTGAGTACTCCATCATGATCTAAAAATGGACACAAAGTCAGTAGTTTACTACTATTAGGAATAGGAGCACCTTTTTCTAAGCACTGCATTCATGTCACAAATGAAGTCCTTTGAACGTTTTTCACAATACAGAATAACGCAGTAGAAAGTTCACTGGTTGTCAAAGTTCCGCGTGTAGCATGCAATGGATGTCTGGTGTTATGCAAGAATCTCTTGCACCAAGCCACTACTCTTAGCAATCTGTTGTAAGGATGAACAATTATTGATGACATCTAATTGCTCATAAGTGTTAAAATAAGTGCACATATTTCACTTACTGCTGGTAGTTTTAATTCGCGAAGATACAGTTCTTCGGACCTCCTCAGGCATATCATCTTGACACTTAGTCATCACAGGTTAAAGAAGAAATGGGGGACCACGCCACCTCAGTTCACACAGTTGAAGTTTGACCGGATAAGCGCCTCTTGATATGAGATCCGCAGGATTCTGCTTAAATGGGACGTGATGCCACTGTCACACCTCCGCCATTTTTTGAACCACCGCAACTCGACTAGCAACAAATGTTTTCATACGACAGGGCTCCTTTTTCAGCCAAGCCAAGACTATCGAAGAGCCACTCCAGAAAAATACATTATTCACACTAAGTTTCAGAGCAGATATTATTCGAGTCATTAACTTCAAGCAATACAGCTGCGCATAACTCTAATCTTAGTATGGTAACTTGATTTATAGGAGAAACTTTTTGATTTACTTGTTACCAGCCTTATCACCTCTTCATCATATTGGGAGATGGATTTACAATAAACTAGAGCTTAATAAGCTAACTCAGAGGCGTCACAAAATCCGTGTAACTCAATAACAGTTGCTTCTACGACAAGAATGCATCTGCTAATTTCTAATTTACATGTATGTGGTAGTTCAGAGAAAAACCATTGTTATTCTTTGGCTTCTTTATCAGGTAGAAGATCGTCTCAATTGAGTTTCAAAACCCATAGTCTCTGAAGAAATATTTTAGCTTTAGCTATTCATGGGACCCAATAAACCAAGTGGATGAAAGATTCTCGCTATTGTTGACAAAACTTGCCTTTTAGTAATTTTAGACTCATTTTCTAGTTTCACTTTAAAATTAAAACAATCTTTATCGCCTTTCCAGGAAACACCAAGGGCTGACACTTCATTCGTGCACTGAAATGTGTATTCATTCTCAACGTTAACTGCAAGCTCCGGATTGTTGCTACACCATTTGTGCAGAGTCATAGTTGCACTTTTTAAAATCTCAATTAATTCACGCTGTAGCTCTTTTGCCGAACTCAATGAACTGGACCCTGTTAGAACATCATCCATGTAAAAATCACTCTGTAGAACTGCAACTGCTAATGGAAAATGTGTGAACTCATCTACAGCAAGCTGACGTAATGTTCTCATAGCTAAAAAAGGTGCACTTACTGTGCCATAGGTGACCGTGTTCAAC